CAGGAGACAGGACAGGCGGACAGCGAAGCAGAACGCCCAGTGGGAACATAAGAGGCTCCCAGCTAAGGCTGCAGAGCCAGGTTCCTGCCAAGTCTCCTTCCTGTGGAGCTTCTGTTTTCCTAACTCTGACTCCGAGATCTGCGAGAGACATGTATAAAATTCGAAGGTTGTTTCATTTATGAATATTCCATTATTCCCCACAGCAAGAACACACAGGACCTCTGAGAACAGGAACATGTTACCTACAGACTCCTACTTGGCAAAAATATCAGTATGACACATACAGCTTAAAGAATGGCTTCTTGCTTTCAAGAACGTACAGATTTAGTCCAGGCTTAACTGTGGTATGCCGTGACAAGGCCGAGGAAGGGTGCCTTTGGGCCAGATGCAGCAGTCAGAGAGGGCTGATTTGGTATGCAACACACCTGCTGCAACAGGCAAAGACCCCTGGGCTCCAAGGAAGCCCCAAGTGATGAGCTGAGGACAGATGAACCCTCCCCACCGGGCGCGGAGGGGTGGGCTCACTGGTGGGAAGAGGGAATGAGCTGTGTTGGCATTGGCAGAGTCAGACATTCAGTGTGTAGCGTGGCCTGTTTGGCTCCTGCGCTAGATTTAAACAGCTTGAGTCTGGAGGGACTCGGCTTCCAGGAAGCTCACAGGCCAGTTATGAGGTCCAGAGAGATGTAGAAGACACTCAGCTCCACTGAAATTACTGTATCGTGTCAAAATGGTGTGCTGTGCTTCTTTCGGCCTGAATGACGAGTTTCTACAGGCCGGGGCCATGTCTTCTTTATCCTGTGACGCTGGTACTTCCCAGAGTGCTTGGCAGATACTAAATTCCTGGTAAATGTGTGATGAGTGAACAGGGGATTTCTTTTCAATATGATGAATTGAACCCACGGCCTTGGCCCTGAACTACACCTCAACTCTATTTTATATTCTGAGACAGGGTCTCATTAAATTGCCCAGGTGGGACTCCAATTTATGATCCTCCTGCCTCAGCCTCTTTCAGTGCTGGGATTACAGGCGTGCACCACCATGCCTTTGCTGAACGGAGGAGTGATGTTTTCACTTTGCATATTAAACTAGGGCTCCTTTCTATGAACTAGTCTGGCCCAGAGCCTGGACTTGCCAGTGAGGTGTGGAACAGAGAACCAAGCAGGGCCGGGATACCTGGTTCTCTGGATAGGTTTGTAATTGTCATGGATTTTAGGGGTATGGGGGCACAAGAAAGGGATTACTTGGGTTTAACCAATACTCAGATTAAAATAAGTTAAGATTTGTGTTTAGAAGATCTAGCAAATGAGTGTGCTTGCTCTTGTGTTTGAGTCGATCTAAGTTGTCTCTCCCCCGGGAGCAGTTTTCACAACTGTTGCCACCCAGAGGTGGCATTCATGCCTCCGCCTCCACTTCAAGTTGGAGCCCAGGGCCCCAGAGAGTTCTTCTCAAAGTGCTTGTCTGTCACATGGTCCAGGAATGGGCGGGGCCCCATGAGGGAGAAGCTGGAGGCGGTAAGAAGGAGGCTCCCGGGTGGACTTGGCATTCAGTCTACTGTGGGCTCCTGTGGCAAGAGCCGCAGAACAGGGCTGCTGGAGAACGTGCTCTGGAGTGAATACACACGCCGAGGGAACGCCAAACCTTGTGAGGAAAAGGCCACCCTCCATGCGTTGCTGCCAATAAAAATGACCTGTTCAATTTTGGTCACAGACAAAGTGAAAGCCTTGTTTAAAAAAAATCCCAAGAGACTTAAATAGAAAGGTATCAGAACCCCCTTTGTTCATGGCCATGGTCACCTAGTTAAAATGACCACCCCTGGGAAACCTTAAGATATCAGCAAACAGTACTCCACAACATTTCCACGTGGAGTGTCCTGTGGGTCACCAGCCAGGAGTTACTGCTACACACATGACCTCCTGAGGACCTGCAGTCACAGGAATGTGCAGGCATTTCTGTCAGTCAGCTTCGTATTTGCAGGGAGGATCCATATTAAGCTGGTTTAATTGTGAGGAGGGCTAGGGAAAGAGGCTTGACTTTCAGGAATAATGTTCAGAACCATGCTCAAGAACTGTGGATTCAATGGGCCAGGGGTGGTGGCCCACGCCTGTAATCCTAGCGCTCAGGAGGGTGAGGCGGGGGATTGCTGTAAGTTCCAGGCCAGCCAGACTGCATAGTAAGTTCAAGACCAGCCTGAACTGCATACACAACCATGTCTCAAAAAACTGAAAAAACAAAACAAAACAAAAAAAACCTATGGATTCAGATTCATCTGCCACCGAGAGCCAGCCCCTGTGCTCTGCTCAGTTTCCTCATAGAGGGGCTGGAAGCTAAACAAAAGCTAAGTACACATTCAGCATCTCAGAGTGGACCTGGATTGTGTTAGCTTTCCATCACTATGACAAAATACCTGAGATAAATAACTTTCAGGAGGCAAATCTTACTTAGGCTCACAGTTTTAGAGGTTTTAGTCCATGGTCAGCTGGCTACACTACTTTTAAGCTTATGGCAAGGCAGAAACATCACAGTGGGGAGTCATGGTGGAGCAAAGCTCCTCACCTTATGGGGCAGCCAGGAAGCAGAAAGGATGAGAAAGTCAGAGAGAAAGGGGCTAGCGACAAGATACAGTCTAAAATTATGACCCCATGACTCACTTTGTTAAGCTTCACTGAAATTTCCATTACCTCCCAATAATGCCATCAAGTTGTTAACCAATCAATTCCCTCAAAACCTATTAGCTGACAACAAAACCTTCAACACAATGAGCATCTGGGGGAACATTTCAGATCCCAAATATAACATAGGTATATGTTTTTAAAATGTTGTCAAGTCTAAGGTAAATCAAAACAGCCACATACTGTGACACTAAATTCAAAAGGAATGTGGAATCCCTTGAATTCAAGCTCCAGAAAATCATATAGCCTATTTGTGAACATCATACCAATGCTCTATGTCAACAAGGGAAAAAAGTCTTCAGCCTGCATAGAGTTCAGAGATGTAACAAGAAGGAAGGAGCAAACCCTTGGAAAACCACCTATCCTTAGTCCTTAAGTGCACCTAGATTCTTCCACTCACAGCTCAGCCCCCCAGAGGCCGCCCAGGACGACTGTGCGCATGCTGGGACCTGGTCTTTCTCTCCTCTCCCTTCTTCCCTGGCTCTCCACATTGGGACTCAAGATCTATCATCAGCTGCTATATCTCAAGACCAATTTAAACAGTTGAGCTTTCCATGTGACTCCTAGCTTTATGGCTTCCTGAGCCTTCATTGCCACTGTAGCTCCCAAAAAAGAGATGCTCTGTCCCCAGTACAAGCCTCAGAAAATTCACACAATTTCTGGGCCATTATTAACATGGATTCAGCTCCAATATGCTAATGACTTCCAAGAGCAGAATGCTCAAGAAAAGGAGGGAAACCAGATAGGAAATTGTCAGTGGCCAAACCGACTCAACAGGAAACCAACCAGGAACCACTCTGTCTGGGTTCTGAGAAAGTTTGGCCCAAGTTCTTGTCCATATTTGGATGGGGCCCTGAAATAGACATTTTTCAGGCAGGGATCAAATCAGGTGGCTTCTTAGGGCCAGAATGGAAGAAGATTATGGATACTCACACAAGAAGAAAATAAGGGAGCCTAGCCTCCATGAAGGGGTGACAGCATTCAGACTACTAGGTCTGAGCCAGTGATGTTCAGAGGACTTAGAAGAGCAGGAGAAGCTTCATACCAGCTGCACATTCTGGTGGCTGCAGGAGATAAGCCTGTGATGGGACGAGAGGACTTCTGTAACCTAGGGTCCTGGGATAGACAGGAACCATTGTTCTGAAAAGCCCTGGACAGATGGGACCACTATTAGAATCTCTGTCTCAATGTCCCAGCCCATTGGCCATTCAGCTGAGAAGGAAGTGAGTCCCTAACCTTAATTGTAGCTCTTCCAGTTCACATTTGATAGGACTAGATCAATGTCCAGTATAGATTTCTCTTTGGGACCTTGTACGCTAACCCCTTTTACATTAAAAACAGAAGAACCCCCAAATCAAGTTTACTTATGAGGAAACTTGTCAGAGAATTAAAAAAAAGAAAAGATGAATTGCGTTAGGAAAAGGTAGCCGAGATTGGCTACAGGCTCCTCCCAGGATGAGCCTATGAAAGCCTCCCGTCTGTGATCCTCCCTGGACACTGCGGGAAGCACAGTCCCCCAACAACTCCAGTGCATAGAGCCTAGGTGTCACTCAGTTTTATCATGGGAATCTGAAGGTGTCAGCAGAGGTGGAGAGGGGCTGGGGTAGCAACAGTTACAGAGCCTTCTAGCCAGGAGGCTGAGAGATGAAGGAGGGAAATAACTGCCCCCCCTCTACTTCAGTCCTATCCAAAGGTGGGAAACTAAGTCAGGAGGCCCCAGCAGCCGGATGTGGCAGGAGCTGGGGAAGTGTCCCATGGCTGGTGGCTCTTGCATTACTTCACGCAGCAGGCTGCTCTGTGACGTTTGGTTGTGGGACTAGTAATGGGTTCTCCTAGGCCCTGGAAGGCCTGGCAAGGTGTCGTGTCATGATGAGAAAAGCTAGCGGTCCTCACACAATATTTTTTTCTGTGACTTTTCACTTATTATCAGTTGTATTAAACTAGCTGGAGATTTACAATGATCTGTTCAAATTATGTTTTGTTCCTGAAATAAAGGTACAAAAGTTCATATGCTATAAACTGAATATAGTTTTCCCACAGAAAAGATGTAACAGGATTATTGTCCTAGCCCAAGTCTGATATACTATTTGTAGAAATGAGCCGAAATTGCATGGTAATCAATACACCTACAATAAAAGATATCTGTATGCTGCAGAGAATAAATCTTTCTAAGGTGTCTGTAAATCAGTCAAGTAGAACAAGGCAGAAACCAATCATGGGAAGTCTCTAAACAAATTTATGTAAGACGTTTGTTTTAGTTGCTTTCATCGTCACTGGGACAAAACACCCAACACCTACAAATTAAAAGAGGACGGCTTGATTTTGGCTCACGGTTTATAGAAGTTTCTGTCCGTAGTCTTCTGGCCCCAGATACTGCAGTACTTTGAGGTGTAAACTGCCAACGTGTCAGAAGAACAAATCATTCAGGGCACATATGTTGAGCCAAGCAACTCAAGGTTGGTTGGAGACCACATCCATTGGATTCTGGGTACCTTTATAAACATTCTGCCTGGATCAAAGGGCTGTAGAACACTGAGGACCCCCCGTGGTCAAATTGGCCCCTAACCACTCAAGACATTTCTTCTGGGCCTCCACATAAGTAGTGAGCTAGACCTTGGAATTTGTACCCTAAATCAAAAGAGGCCAAACTCAGAGGCCTAAAGCCATTCTGAAATCCCCCTCTTTGCACCTGCCCCCAACATTATCTTCATGAAACAGAAAAAACCTTCGGAGCTTTGTAAAGGAAAGGAAATCTAGATGCTACCACCTTGGAGAAAAGAGGCTGTGGCTACCTCTTCCTTTGTGTCATGATTAGCCTTCTGCCTCAAAGCCCAGTGGAACATTGATAGGCTTCATGCTTCTTCCCTGGTACTGACAGAGCATGCTGTGAATGGGTTTGGGAGAAACATATCTGGGACTTTTCAGGTAAGAATGGCCGGCAGCTTACATAGAATAAAGTCATACTGCACCGATATCCAAGGCCACATCATGGCTTCAACCTAGTCCTCGTGTAGTTGCAAAATATTCTGGAAGAAGGCTATGACTCATCGAGGTTCACCAAATGGATTTCCTCAGCCCCGCCTGAATACATGGAGAACAACAAGCATGTGTTTGGAAACATGAGTGGTGAACACTGCGAGAAGGGCCGGGCCCAGAGCTGTAAGTCTTATGCTAGGTTTTTGTCCAAATGGTATCATGTGTGTGAGTGTGTGCATGTATGTGTGTGTGCCTGTGTTTTTACACTGAGTGTCACACTGACACTTTGGTTCTTTTAGATCCACTTTCCTAATGTGTACGCCAATGAGCTCATTTGCTGTGTTTGGCTAGAAGGCCACTCATTTCACTGTTTAGGTAAGCAAAGAAAACTTTGCTGCAGGTCCATGAGGCTTTTAGTCCAAAGCCAGAGGAAGAAGAAGGTGCCCAGTTTCACAGAGCTGGCAGATGTTGACATAGAGTCAGTCATTTTTACCATAGCTCCTTGCTCAGCCCTGTCAAGGGTCCTTGGAAACCCGTGGAGAAAGAGATTTCCTTGCCATGTGGCCAACGGACCTGTGTGGACTGAGCTACATGGCTGCGGAGCCTAACAGTTGCAATCCCCTTGTAAACACCAAGAGATGAGGGACGGGAAGCTCACCACCACCTGACCCTCCTGGTAGCTGTTTGGTGACAGACACATTCTCTTCTCGGGTTGCAATGGTATTCATGGCTGTCACTGGGCTGGGGGCTGGGAAATCGCCACCTGGGAAATGCATTGAAGATGCAAGCAGCAAGCAGCTTTGGGGGAAGTTCCGGTGGCCTGGCCTCTGGCAGGGACGGGCAAAGCAGCTGCATGAAAGGGGAGGGTGAGCGTGAGGGCTGTTACCCGGTGTGCGCGCATGACTCACATGCAATCTACATCCGTTCCTGTACCCCTGGGCTGTCTGCTCTCATACAGCCCACTTGGCCTTTCCGGTGCCAACTACAGTCACTGAAAAAACAAGGGAGAGGGGAGTGGAATACCCAGGAAAAAGGGAAAAGAGAAATCAGGCTCGCAGACCCAGATTTCAAATGATTTCAGGTCCCGTGAGATGCTATGCGCTTTGGCCACTCTACTTTAAGCACGAATTATAGCTACCCTCAGAATGGCCTTTTCTTTGGTAGTCTTTTCCCCTCCAAGGCACCTCACCTTCGCACTGTGTACCAGTTGCCTCTACCTGACCCCTTTCCCTGTGTCAGAAGAACCCCGAGAAGGGATGAGGGTAGAGGTTCGTGTCAGGAGAGCACAGCAGAGATGTCTACGGCAACAGCTCCCCCAGTCATGGGCTAGTTCTGCTTCCGGAAGAGCCATGACTCCTGGGAGGTATGCCTTGTGCCTTGCGCCTTGGCCATGACAGGCCGTGCCCTCAGCAATGTGAAACTTTCCAGGACAGCCTTCTCCTGCTACGGGGAGGAGACCCCGTGGCTTTCAAACTCAGCCTGAGCCCCTCCTCTCAGTGGCTGAGACATGAGGGCCCAAAGGCTGTGGCGACACTCCAGGTCAGCATTGTGACCTCAGCTCTTCCACACAAAGAGGAGGTCACCCAGCTCTCACCTCGGCCTGTAAGTTGCTAGGACAGTGGGCTGGTCCTGGGGGCTGTTGTGGGGTAGTGGGAAATTTGAAGAACACCCTGGCTTCCTCCATCATGGCCAAGAGGGCAGAACTGAAGAAGCCAAACCTGGTAAAGGAGGATCACTGCTGGATGATGTGGGGTCTCCGTGCGCGCCTATGAGTAGAGATGGGGCAGGGAGGATACCGAGAATGTGCCGGTATTAGTTTACGTGGTGGCGAAGCGACCTGGAGAAAGTGCCAATAGACCTCCCATGTTTGGTTCTCTGTTCTGAGCATAAGTAACCTCTCAGCCTGGACGGAGTGTGGGATTGATGCCCTTGGGCATTAATGCAATGGGAAGAATGAGGCCGCTGCTGACTCCCTTTTTATAGCACTCCCACTCCTCCAACTGCTCGCAGCTCCGTGCAGCAGGGCAGGCCTGCACCACGCCCACCTCCCATGGGCAGCCTAAGGTTCAAAATTGCTTTTCTAGATTAAATATAGTTATCACATCTATTTCATAGACAAGGGAAGCTCAGAGGAACTAAACTCACCCACGTTGGCGAGCTAGAAGAGAGAACAGCTCAACCTGGGACCTAGTGCTATCCCCGAGGCCCTTCCGCACTTCTGACATGACTTTTAGGAGGTTTCCTTAGAGTCTCTGTTGGGCAGGCCTGTGCTCATTAGGACACCATGACCCGAGCTGAGTTGTCTCAAAGCAGATCAGGTGCTGGGAAATACATGAGCCCGTGCTCAAGCGCAGCTGAACAGGCACGGTTGTTAGGGGAGGCTTGGGGGGCCTCTTGCAAGGGCTGGATGCTATCGTCCCCCATCCTAATGTTTTGTCTCTCTGTAGAACAAGAACTACAAGTCAGTTTGCCCAGAGTTGAAGTCAGAGCCAACCAAAGTAAGAAGCGTTTTTGTGGCCATGCCAGCATCCAGGCCTGAGACCCATGGGGAGGTGACCTGGAGTCAGGGGTCATTTTCTGTTCCTGGTGGCCAAGATCTCTCCCAGGTGCGGGGGATACAATGAGAGAAACAGAGACCTTTGTTCTCCGAGACCTTCACCTAGTAATCAATCAGATACATAAGTGATACAAGACAAGTTTCAAGAGGGAGGAAAAGGAGGAGGATGGAGGAAACTTCTGCACAGGCAGGGCCACCAGCTTCATCTCTGCGCTCTGTCCCTAGGGAGGGGCCCAAACTCGGAGTGATCCCTCCTCCCTGTGCAGTGTCACCCTCATCTGCAGTTTCCAATGCTCTGTTTCTGTTTCAATCACAGACATACAATTGCAAAGAAGTTAAACACAAAGGGCTGTTCACCAAAACGGGGATGACACAGGAGCTGAAGGTCAGTGTGTGAGCCCAGGCAGCTCGGGGCACACGGGTCGGTACAGGGAAGAGGCGACGGGCCGGCCAACTTCCGGGTGGACGCACTGCACCCACCGGCACTCACAGCCTTGAAGCTTCGTTCTCTCTGGGTCTTTTTTAACTTTTTATTTTGAAATTATTTTAGACTAACATAAAATTTGGGGGGAAATGGACAATGAAGACTAATATAGCCTTCACCAGATTCCTCAAATGTTAGCTTTTTATCATGGTTGCTTTATTTCCCCTGTTTCTGTCTTTTTGTGTACACACACACACACACACACACACACACACCAGCCCTTTATATCCATGGGATCCTTCTACATCTGTGATTCAACCAACCTTAGATTGAACATATTTGGAAAAAAATTGTGTCTGTACTGAAAGTTGTGTCTGAATCTATACAGACTTTTTTTCTTATTCTCTATGCAATGCAGTATAACAACTATTTACATAGTAGCCTTTACATTGTATTAGGTATAAATGATCTAGAGATGATTTAAAGTACATGAGAGGATATGCACAGGTTATATGCAAATATTGCACCATTTACATAGGGGATGAGAGCAGCTGCAGATTTGGGTATCCGCAGCAGTCCCTGAACCAAACCCTCTCAGATACTGACGGGCAGCTGCATGACTTCCTATCCCAAGGGATCCTTTTCTGGACCCTGGGTGTCAATTCGTGGGTGTCTCTTATGCTCTGCGCTATGAGGGGGCATAGAACCAATCCAATGGATGCCAAGGGATGACTATATATATTTTGAACTATTAGAGAGTAAATTTTTACCAGTCTTCAGCACATTTTTCCTAAAAACAAGAACCTTCTCTTACGTATCTACAGTAGAATTTTCAATATCAAGGAATTAACATGGATACAGCACTAATCTGTAGACTTTATTCTCATCCCACCAGTTGGGCCACTGGTGTTTTTCACTTTAAAAAAAAAAAAACATGTTTCTGGCCCAGGACTGAATCCAGGATTGTGCATTGCCTCTCATTGCTATATTTCTTCATTCTTCTTTAATCTGGAACTGTTTCTCACTCTTTGCTCAGGAAATTTTTAAAGCTTACACATCATTTATTTTGCTGAATGACTCCTAACTTGGGTTTGTCTGATGTTCGGGCCTGTAGATTGGGGGCAGGCCTTCCAAAGCAGTGACGGGGCATGCTTTTCCAAGGGTCCTGTTAGGAGGCCCACAATGGCAGAGGTCTCCTGACCCACCATCCTAGTGCCCCTCTCTCCTCCTTGTGGAAGTTTCCCTCTGGTCCGTTTTTTGGAAGCGCCCTCAGGGTCTGCCCTTTCCTCCATGAAAAGTTCTCCTCCAGCTAAGATTTTTGTTTACTCCCTCTTTCCCTCGTTTCCTTTCCTCAGAATGAACTTAGAGAGGTGAGAGAAGAACTCAAGGAAAAAATGGAGGAGATAAAACAGGTAACAGGATAAGGTTTATATAACATGTAGAGAAAGTATAGCTTCGAAAAATGCAATGCCTAACTTGGAAAAGTAAAAGAAATGGGGAATTGCATAGGGAAAGCAAAGTGACTTAACCCCCTCGAGTGCTTACGTGTTAGGCACTTTGGATATTCATATCTTACTTGTTTGATGCCTAAACCCAGTCGCTGAGTGACCAAAAGTTCCCTACATCCTAGGGCAGTAGGGGGGAACTAAGGCCACAGTGGGCTGTTTGTATCATTGAAAGTTCTAAAAGGTTCATCCTCACTGGCTGGGTGTTAAGGCTGGTGTGGTATTACCTCCGTGGTAAAGCTCAGTGAAGGGTTGACATGGGGTTGGGGGGCTGTCAGAAACCAACTGCATCCTCCCCATTCACCTCCCTTTGGTGAGCTGCAAGGCAAGAGCTCTTGTTTCTATGACACACCAACTATGGGCTATCTAGGGAATGGGAATAATCAAGCAAGAAGGTATCAGCGAAGCTGTGATCCACGCTCCATCTGTAAGCCTTGCAGGAGCCACAATACAGCGCACCAAGGCTGGCAGTGGAGTGACTTCATGGCGTGCAGCCTAGTCCTCTCATAGACTCCCTGGAAAGAAGGTGACTTTCATAAGACCTTCTCAGTCTGTACCAGAGGTGCTGCTGCACCCTTTGCTTAAAATGCCCCAAAGATGCCCCACCTGACTTCAGGAATATGCTCTGTGCTTTTGTCAAGTCATACTTTTCTTCCTCATTAGATAAAGGATATAATGGACAAAGATTTTGATAAGCTTCATGAATTCGTGGAAATTATGAAGGTAAGATTTTACTGAATGCTGTCTGTCAGTCAGTACCACACTGGAAACTATGAAAGAGATGCCGGAACCTGCCCTCCAGGTGCTTGTAACTGGTAGGAGACCCAAACCCCACTGCAAGAAAGAATTGCAAGCAGAATTGCAGGCTGTCAGTCAATTAGGGATTTAGTGACCTGAGCAGTGACTGTGGGCTAGAACAACAGGAGAAGTCCTTAGATGGAAACTGAGTCAAGTTGGGCTTGGGAGATTACATTGGCAGCTTAATGCAAATCTAATAAAAAGAAACCCAAAAAGATATTTTTAAACAAAAAACAAGCAACACTAGATGATAATCTGGATTCTACAACAGTGGCTCACCAACTTTTTAGTGTGTTTCAGAATCAACTAGAATACTAGCAAGAAAAATGATCCCAAGCTCATGTTTAGACAGAAATTGTGTCCTTGTATTTTGGTCAAGTTCCAGGTAAAAGTTTGAAAGCCACTGATGTAGATGCACAAAGAGGGAAAAGCAAATAGCTACAAATTTTTCAAGAGCTGTAATGGGGCACTATCCTTACCAGGTAATTCCAATTCATTATAAAGCCACAGTTTCTATTCAGGGTGGTAGCACCCAGGGAGAAGCAGATAAATTGCAGGAATGGGAACAGGTAACTCTGTAACAGCCTCTCTGCTAAGGATGCCCTGAGAGTCTCATACACTTCCTCTAGGACACACAGCCAGTCTAGAGGACCTGAATAAAACTGTCCCAGGTGAGGGCGGAGCTGCTTACAACTCCATAGTGATTTCCAAGTTTTCCCTTGGCTAAGAGCCAGGTCCTAAACACTTTATCAGCACCAGTCCACTTGGCTGCACATCAGGATCTCCTCAGAGTGATTTTTGACCCTCTCTTTCCCTATACCTAGGTTGCACCCTGTAATAATGAGATTGGGGGCTTTGGGGAGGAGGTCAAGGCACCAGTAGATTTTCAAATTGCCCAGGTGATTCCAACATATGCTCAAGGCAGAGAATCACAGTTCTATAAAATTTCAAATATGATAAAGGTGATTTTTTTCAATATCAGTGAAAAGAAAAGAAATATGTAATAATATTAAGATTATTTCTTGTCTAAATGAGGAAAAACTAGTTCAGTTATCACAGTAGATAGAAATAGTCTATAAGGAGAGCTTTAGAAAAACCAATATGAAGTTATAAGTAAAAATGTAATTGGATATTCTAAATATAGGTAGAAGAAATAACCAAGAAAGTAGGATATATTTAACTATAAATAAATTACACTATTAAGCTTTTTAAAAGGCATATGACAAACTGGGAGTGGTGGCACTCACTATAATCCTAGCACTTGGAAGGCTGAGGCAGGAGGATTGTCACCATTCTGGGCTACATAATGAGTTCAAGGCTGACCTGAACTACATAGTGAGACCCTCTCTCAAGAAAAAAATCACAAAAAAATGACAGAAAATCACCATACACAGAATTTTTAAACAATGGATTGGGGAAACAACTTTGTATAAATTGGTAGCTATAAACAAAAGGCTTTTATCCATAATATTCAGAGCTCACAGAAATGGGGAATAGGAAAAGGGGAAGGGCATGAACAGATGATTCACAGAAGAGAACGTAACTAAAAGGCCATAAATACACGTAAAAGATTTTACCTCATGAACAGGGAAATATATGTGGGTGAAGTGATAATTGTTACATTCAAAGAAGCAAATTTTAAGTTTATGAAAACTATATAATGAGATAGAAGTGCTCTTATACTGCTGACAAGAGTACAAATTTGTACAAACTTGGAATGTTATTCAATAACAGCCATCAGAAAATATACAAGTTTTAAATTCTGTTTCTCAGGATTTAATGTATGAGGATAATTAGAAATGCCAGCACAAGTATGTATTAAAAATGTTCACTACTGGATTGTTTATAATGGTTTGGAAACAACCACAGCTTTCAACAATAGAGGAACAGCCAAATAAATTATGGTATAATCATATAGTGAAAGTCGGGAATTATTAAACACAGTGTTTATAAAGAATGTCTAAAGAATTAAGAAAGCAAGATATAAGTAAACATACCCAGGCCATTCTCAACTAGGTAAAAAAGATAAGTAAATATATAGAAAAAAATGGAAAGATATACCAGATGGGGTGAGAAGATTGGTTTTTATATATGTTCTTGTGTATTGTCCAAATTTTTCTACAGAGGGCAGGCAGTATTTCCATACTAAAACGCAGACACCTTAAGTGTCTTGTGAGTGAGCAGGGCTGGGTGTGCAAAGGCACAGAGGAAGCTATTTCTGGCAGGGACAGCTGGAGCACGGCAGGAGGCAGGGCAGACAGTTGTGTCTCCTGGTCAGTAGGGAGATTAGTCATGAAGGTGGGGGAGTCATTTGGGGAAACTGTGAGAAACAAAACTGACTGGGCGCAAAGTCAGCAGGCAATGAAGGTTCTGAAAAACAGCACACAAGCTGGGACTTGGCTCTGTAAGCAGCAAGAGGTCTCTGGAGATTCTTAATCAAAGAACATGTTGGGAGCAGCTGGTGGCAAGGGCTGTGGGTGGCGGGGCAGCAGATAGGGACTGTCTGGCAGCACGGACACCAGACCGGCTGCTGCCTCCGTCCCCAGTGAAGAGAGGTGAGCCAGGGTCGGAAAAGAAGGAAAGGGTCCACCTGAAAGGTACATGAGAGGAAACGTAAGAGTTCTTGGTGATAGATTCAATACTGAGAATGAAGGCCAATATAGTGCAGCAAGCCAGGATGACACCAAAGTCATAATTTGGATGATTAGAAGGAAGTGGTGACAATGACAATAGTTGGGAAATACAGCTAATAGAGAAGAGGAAAGGAAATCACTTGGATGCATCATGAATTTGAAGTGGTAAGACTTGTAAGAACACAACACATTGTGACTTTGACATTTTTGAACTAAAGAGCATTTTGAGCTCAAGTTATTTTGATGCTGTGGCTAAAATTATTTTATTCAAAATTTATACTAACATTTAAAAATGCTTTCAAGATATTATCTGAGAGGGAACACCAAGATGGCTGAATGGTAAGCAGCAGAGAAAGAGCCTCTATGAGAATCCCCATCCAGATGCTGGAATACTAACATGAGGAGGACAGGAAGAAGGGAAGGGGGTCCCCTGCACGCAGGAAGGGTATGAAGCATGAACTGAAGGCCACAGAGAGAGTGGGCTTCAGAGAAACTTAAATGAAAAAGATGAAGCTGGCAGTGCCTTCTCCCTGAGATGGGACTCACTGCACGAGAGGAGCAGTTCAAACCTGCAGACACACAGTGACTGCTGGAGACCCCAGAGGCCTCCACAGAGAGATGCAGCAGTGGAGGGGAGCAGTGGATGTGAAGGACTGCACTAGCTGGCAGTGAGTGCTGAGGGCTCAGTCATCCTGCATGAGAGAGCCATCGGCTGGAAGCTGTCTTGGAGAGGAGCTGACTGAGCTCAGAACTCAGAACAGCTGCAGGCTCCATCTAGTGGCTCCCAGCTGGGCTCAGGCCCAAGGAAGGTGCCAAATGAGCCTGGTCTCAGCAAGAAGGTGCAGGCTCGCTGAGATTATCCACTACCCCACCATAAAGCTACAGCTGGCTTGCTGGGATAGATTAGCATGGATCTGGACTCTATCTCCACACATTGTACACCAGTGACAGCAAAGACAAAGCTGGAAGTGAATTTTTTTTCTCTCTCTTTCTTGTTTGTTTTGTTGTTTTTTTCTTCAATGTTTGATCTTGTTTTTATATGAGTGTGAACATGGTTTCTAGCCTCTTTATTGTTGTGGTTTTGTTCTGTTCTTTTTATCTCTTCCTTCTCTCTTTCCCTCCAGTCTTCTGCACCAGTTTCCCAAGTTAGGGTGAGCCCCCTTTGTCCTCCAGCTTTACTTCTAATCTCTCTCTCTTCTTTCACTTCTCTGTTTTCTCCCTAATCTATTTTAAATTTTAATCCCTGAGGGAAAAATTGACATATTAAGGACTTGTATACTGCATATAATTTCCTGGTCTGTCTTAGATTTTGTTATATAACCACGTATGGTTAAAGGTGGCAAATTAATAGTTAGCTCAGTTTGTCATTTTCTTAGCTGTGTTTGATGCTATTGTCATTGCTGATGATACCACTATAGCCAAAAGTGACATAATTGTTTTAAGCAGCTGTTCATCCTGGTATTTCAAGAATGAGATTGACTAAGGGTCACAGAAAATACTATGGCACAGTGAAAAGAACTAAGGGCTGGGCCAAACAGGCAGCAACTTCTCATCTCCAACAAATTGAACAGGTAGGACCTTGCAACAGACTCAAAACCCCAAAACCAGCTACACCTGGAAGATACCTTGGAGAAGTAGTCATTTCCTAGGGGATCTACATACTAGCAATGAAGCAATCCAGCATAGGCAATTTATAAGCATCACTTCAGAAATTAAACTGAAAAAAAAAAAAAAAAGAAAGAAAATGAGAAGACATTTAAACAAGATGCAACCCTAGACATCCAGGTCACCAAATCCAAGGGGCAATGAGATGGAACAATCTGAAAGCCACCCACTTGGCCTCTCTGAAGTCACAACAACAAAGCAATTGAATGAGGCTCTAGAGAACATCAAATCAGAAATAATTTCTCAGATAACTGCAAAGATGGTGACCACAATGAAAGCCATGCTTAGTGACTCTAGAACAGATACAAAAAAATACAGGAGCTTAAGAAAATTATGGAGGCCATGAATGCTCAACATAAGAAAGAAATGGAATTCAAAAGGCAGATTCATACAGATATAAATAAAAGAATAAAACATTGTCTTGACAATAAAAATTGTATTGAAAGTATCCACAGCAAATTAAGCCAGTGTGAGGACAGGATCTGAGATATAGAACATAGGCTTGCAGTTAGTGATTATGAAAAGAAAGATTTGAAACTAGCAAGGGACCATGAGAAATAAATACAGCTTCTGCTAGATGAGGCAAAGAAGAATAACTTAAGATTGGTTGGAGTCAATAAAAAAGCA